AAGATAAGCACAGCACATCTTCCTGGAGCAAGAATTATATTACGTTACTTTAGAAGAAATAAACAAAAGGAAAGAAATCAGAAAGAGAGAGAGCGGGGGAGGGAGGGGAGAGAAAGAAAGAAAGGAAGAAAGAAACAGAGAGAAAGGGAATATAAAATAATGTCAATCACAGAATAGATCTGAGAACTCACATCAATTCCAAAGATAAAACATGGATCTAGAAAGACCTCTGGTATTGCAAACAGCCACCTGGAACGTAAGTGCCCCTGCTTTTACTCCTTCACCTCCAGATCTATAAATGCTAAAGCTGTAGAAGCAGCTGAACACAAAGCATGGACTAAAGTTGCCACAGCCTCGCAAACCTGGCTTGGAATCTGATCTGATGCCTTCATAGCACCAGGACAGAGAGTCTGCTGCCACTCTTCCTTCCCACCTAACAGTCTCCGTTCCCTACCACCTTCTTTCTCTCTCAATGTTAGCTCTTGCAGCCTTAGTCTTCCTTTTCCCTTCAGCAAACAGGGCGATTAACTCATCCTTTTATGGACTAGATCAGCATTCTTTGAACTGGGGCACATGTTCAAAGTGAAGCCAACATTTCCCAAGAGGTTCATCAGGACAGCTGTAAGGGAATCAGTTTCCAGATCCCCAACTTCCAAATGTACTCCTGTCTAAAAATTGAATCTGCCTGGGTCAGTGACTGTGATGGGTGTCCATCCTGTGATGGTGATGACCATCACCCTGACAGTGATGAAAGTGATAGATGGAAGTTCCCTCCCCTTCACAAAGGCCCCTTCACACACTTTACAAAAGCAATGTCTTCTCATTACCTTCCCCAAGTCTTTTAAGATGCATTCCCCCAGGGTACAAAGGAATGAACAGAAATGGTGCTGGCTTGTTAATGGGGTAAAAGTCCCAGTAACAATGCAAATGATACTGGGAATCGAATGTAGAATTTACTAGAGCTTTTTAAATGATGCAATAATCTAAAATATCAATACTTACAGTATGCTGAAAAAGTACATCCTTTCCAACTATTTAAATTCAGGACAAAAAATGTTAGCCAATAACTGAAAAATGTGCTTGGAGTATGCAGGTTCACAGAATCTTTTTGGAACTACGGGAGCAAAAAAATTGGAAGAACAATGCTCTAGACCAGGGGTCCTCAAACTTTTTAAACAAGGGGCCAGTTCACTGTCCCTTAGACTGTAGAAGGGCTGGACCGCGGGCCCCGGGACAAGTCGGCTGCTAAGCAGGACAGGCAGGGGTGGCAAAAACACCAGTGGCTGGATAAATGTCCCAGGCGGGCTGCATGTGGTCCACGGGCTATAGTTTGAGGACGCCTGCTCTAGACCAAGTCTTCAGAGTCTTTCCAAGACGAAATAAGAAGGAGAGAGAAAAACAGTTTCCCACAGAACCCCAATTTTGAATGAGAATGGTTGGAGGTGGAACAGCAATTAGTATTCTCTCTGTCCTCTTATTGATCCTAAGCATATTAGTTGAACCTGGTTCTACAGCCAACAATTTACAAGACTGATGATCAATCAGTTTAAATAACTGATCTTAAATGTATTGCTAACTGGGTTAGACTTTGGCTGATAGGACACATCTCATCCAATCTCCTGAGGAATATTGCTAGAGCACGTCTCCTTGGGTTGCCCAGAAAGGCTCATGGGGCAATACTCATAAAGATTCACTAATTTTGTATTTATCTTATCATATAAAGACATATTTCGCCACTGGGGATTTCACCACACTGCTATTGACTGTATCTATTTAATTGGCATTTCAAGAGTGACATGTACAATACAATGAATTGGAGAGCCATTCACATATTGTATACTTAGTATTTTAACCCAATACTGAAGCATCATCTCAACAGACACATCTACATGCCCTAAGCCCTAAAACTCCATGTTTTTCCTTCTTTCTCCAATTCTGTAACCTGTCCTCTTTCACCCTGCCCCTTTCCTCTTTTCAGCCACTCTCCTGGAAGGAACAAGCCATTTGTGTATGATGGAGGGGAAGAGGCCAGCACTTTATTCCCCGTCTACGCCATTCTAAAAACACTGCCTTCCTGGTCCTCCAGCTCTCAGAGACAGTGGAGCTATTTAGAGTAGACCTCAGAACTACTTCAACCCCTCTCCCCTCCCACATGAGGAGGTGACTGAGTTTCAGATAAGAGGTCAGTCTTTAGAGTCAGAAAGTCGGCTGGAAATCCCACCCCACCATTTGCTAAGTCTGAGTTTTCAGGCAAGCCACTAAATTTCTCTGAATCTCAGGTTCCCAAAGTCCTTAAAATGAGTTTGCTGGGGATTTGAAACAATTCATATCAAGTACCTAGAAACATACCAGCACAGAGTAGCCTTTTGATAACCAACTGTTACGAAATGTTTAATGTTCTTTAATGATTGCTTAAAATTAGGCAGTAGTTTTCTTTTGGCATAATGTCAACCAGTGGCATGTTTTTTGATGTCTTTCTAGTTTCTTTTAAAACAAGTGATTTGGAAAATGACTACCTTTCATGTCTAAGTACAGAGTAGGCATGTGCATGCAGAAAGTGTACCTGTAGTACTAAAACTGGGGAAAAGACATGCACAGGATAGGGGCTGCAGACAACTTGAGATTTCACCTACAGCATTCATAAATGTGTCAGTATGTCCCTAACTCTGAACACTGCTGTGAATATGTTTTAAAATAATCACAGACTCTGACTCTTTAACGTCTATCCTGATTAAATTGCTAAGGTAACACTTTCCTCTCAACAAATTAGCAAAAAAATTTAGAAATACTTATTAAGAGTGTGGACACAGTGGAACTCCCACAATGGTAGTGCAAATGAGTATAACCTTTAGCTTCTAAAGCAATTTGATAAGGTGCATCAAAGATTTAAAAAGGATTGATTTGCTTGTTCAGCAATGCAGGAATATATTCCAACCAAAACAAACTGATCTATCACAACTTATAACAGCAAAAAGTTAAAGCAACTTAATGTCCACAATAGAGGATAGAATTATATGGTAGGGCCATCCCATGGAATATTATGTAGCTATTAAAAACCATATGAACAAAAAATATATATATTTAAATAAGAGGGGCTTGTTAACTGAAAGTGGTATTTGGCTATGAATCCAAATTTATATGTGTCACTATGATTCTCCAGCAGCAATAATAAGAGAAATTTACAGTAGAGAACTGGAATTACATGTAGTGACCAAAATCCATTCCATAGTTTGAAAGGACACAGTGTTAAGACTTACTACCCACGTCCTTGTTCTAAAAAGAAGTGTGGGATGAGTACACTGCTGATTCAGATCCTTTTTATGAATGGCAGGGATAGAAAAGTGGGTAATGAAAGTTATGTCTGAAACTGATATTCAGCCTGTTTATTCAGTTTAATGAAGATTTTGAGTGACTTGGATACCACATGCACCAGTGCTCTCTGCCTAGGTAACAAGTGATGGCAGTATGTGCAGAGATCAGAGGCCAAAAAAGGGGAGGACTCCCAACTTTCCAATATACACATTTTTGGAGCAGGAAATGAAACACAAAGAATACAAACACGCAAGCTCAGGTCTGCGGCTGCATATGTAAAGCACAAAACCTCCTCCCACCCCCACTCAAAGCAGAAATGCCTCAGTACACCACCTGTCCTCCCTCTCCTGCATTCAACAGTTATTCTCATCTGCACTTCATGACTAGTTTTAAAACTCCTGGTTTATTTCCAATGCCAACCGCTACTAACAAGCAAACAAGAAAATCCAGCGGGTCGAGATTATTTTCCAGCTTTCTTGAACTTTCCCGTGTTTATTTTTCACATCAGTGCTTCAAAGTTCTAATCTAACCCCACAGATAAGAAACCAAATAAAAAAAATTCTTTGGGCATTTATACGTCTCATGTTACACACTCTTTCACCCCAGAAAACAAGGAGTAACCCAAGGGCCTGTGAGGTGAAATGACATCTCTCTGCTCAGTGCTCTTCTGACTTGGTCTGTGTGGTCACAGCTCTGTCTGCCTGTCTGCCAGCCTGGGCCAGGGTGCTTCCAACAGCCCCAAGGCAGGGCTTCGTTCTGAAAACAGTCCAAAATCACAAGAAGGCAAAGTCCACTGAAGTTATGGTAAAAACAAGAGAAGACCAAATACACTTAAATTACCACCTTACAAGTCACAGCTCCCAAACTGAAAGCTGTCTTCTTAGTTGACGGTGGGCACTTCTAGCTGTTGCCAGATGTCACACTGCAGAACGGTGGGGGATGTTTGGTTGGTTTCTGGTGGTCAATTTTAGGAAACACACGCTTCTTAGTTAGGAGCTGAGGTTCCAAACGAATATGTGTTGGCGACTTAATTTTTTTTCCAGGCTAGAAATGTGCTAAGCTAATAATTAACCTTAAGCATACCATCACTTCTGCTAAAAACATTTTCTACACGCAGCCCTAAATTACTTTCAGTTGGGTTAAACAAAACAGACAAGCTGTAATAAAAGGTCTCTGAGAAATGTGATCCCTTTCACTGGTCACCCAGGAGCTTTCCCTCTTAAATCTGCGGCAGGGAGGAGGGGGAGTGGAGAAAAAAGGGGGGGGAGGGAGGTTAGGGAGACAGGCACCCCAAATAAGATGCCATCCGGTCCACAATTATTTTCGTAGAAAGTTGCCTAAGATAACTAAGTCTTCAGGGTTTCTCGGGTTGAGTAATTCTTGCAGGCTGGGGATGGGGGGATCGCTCGCGTCCAAGATGACTATCTGCAGAGGTTTTCCTTATGTTGATTTTTTAAGGCGTCCTTTTTAATTATACTGCAAGGGCTCTGATTTCCACCTCTCTGGCTGCTGCTGGGGGGGAGATGAGAGCAACGCACCAGGGCTGCGGCAGCCGCTGGAGCCAACTCCGGCGCTCAGGGGCGGGCAGCCCACTCCCCACCGGTCCCACCCTCCCGGGCACACGCGAGCACACCCGCGCCGAGACAGCGGTCCGCGCCCGCCTGCCCCGCGCCCCGGCCGGGACTCACCGTTGTCCAGCCGCGCGATCTGGGGCAGCCGGTAAGTGCTGACCAGCAGGTCGAGCGGCACGGCCACCGAGCTCCACTTCACATCCTTGAGGCTGCAGCCCAGCGAGGGCGCCGGGTCCATCTCCCCCGCCGCCGCCGGCACCACCCGCGCCTTGGCGGCCGCCGCTGCTCGCGCTCGCGGTCCGGGGCGCGCGGGAGGCGCCGGGCAGCTGCGGCCGGGGGGCGCGACGGCTGAGGCAGCCCGAAAGGAGGGGGCCGGCACCCGGCTCAGTGGCCGCTGCGGGGCATGGCTGGGGGGTCCCGCGTGCCCTCAAGCCCGGAGAGGACTCGGAGCAGCCCCGCGGCTGCGGGCGGCGGCGGCGGCCCGAGTGGCTGCGGCGGCTCCCGCTCCGCCTCCTCCTCTGGCCCCGGGTCTGCAGCTGCGGCGGCCGTCCGCTCGCCTCCTCCTCCCCTTACCCCTCCTTCCCTCCGCCTCGAGCGTGTGAGGAGGAGCCGCGGGTCTGAGAAGCGCCATAGCAGCGCTCCCAGCACTGACTAATCAACAAGGTGCGAGCAACGCCTGCGCAGCTCGGGGAGACGCCGCCTCCGCCTCCGCCTCCGCCCCCCGGCGCCGCCCCCTCGGGCCCGCGCTCCGCCTCCCCCCCCCGCCGCTCCCGCCCGCCTGCCAGGCTGGCTCCGCTCGGCGTCTGCTCCCAGGCCCGGCCCGGCCGGCGACCGCGCTCGGCGCGCTCCGCAAGCTTTACCTCTTGCTCCCCCGTCCGACCGCTCCGAGCCTTGCAGCTTAGCCAGCGCCCCGGCGCGCCTCGGCTCCTGCCCTGCCCGGAGCCCTTCCCGGATCCCTTCCCGGAGCCCGAGGATCTTTCCCTGAGTGGTCGTGTCGGGCGCTGTCGCTTCCCACTCCCAGGCAATGGAGTGGCTGGTAAGGGTCACTGAAGAGATCTTTGCGGCGCTCCCCTCTTGCTGCCCAGTTGCCAGACTTTAAGGAGATAGGCCAGGAGGGTGCCACGGCTCTTCGAGGCTGGGGAAGGCAAGCGTGGAGCGCTCCTTGGTGTTTGCCCCTAACCTAAAAACTCCAGGGACAAAGCTGGAAGTTACTCCCGACAGTTTAAGCTGCACCTTCTAGGCAGGTGAAAAAGGCCAAAGCACTTAGAAGCAGAAAGGTGGTAGATGATCGGTGCCCACGTAAAGGTAGGTGACCATTCTACTGAGTGCCTTCATCGTGTGAAAAAGTTGCTGCAGATGGCAGGAGTCGAGGCCACCAATAGCCATAAATGCTCACAAGAAAAGGGAAAACTGGATGGATTACTGGGAGCCTGGGGGGGGGGGTCACCAATTTTCAACGCACTCCCCCCACAACCCTCTCCCACCCCACCCTACCGCTGCTCAGTTTTCTTCTAATCTTAAGGGTTGGGATAATTTCCATTTTCTGGATATGTGAACCAAGACATTACCTGGCAAAACTGTGCAACCCATAGACGGCCGCGCTGGGATTCAGACCTACAGTTGGGTTTGCACGGTAACGCCTTGGTTTCTCCGAATATTTAGCGCGGCCTGCTCACTGTGGACGGAGCTCAGAATATGATGGTGGATGTCAGAGTCCTGTTTCTTGAGGCACATCCTAACTTGTATACCAGTCCTCTTTAGTTTTACATTATGTTAAATGGGCCGAGGTGAGTAGTTGCAGAGGTGAACGGGTTTCATACCAACTCTGTTTTTCCAATACATATTCAATGTTTAGCTCAAGGTAAGGCAGACCATACCTGCTTGGCCCACCCCAAAGGACTGGGGAAGCATCTCCTGCCTTTTTTAGTGGGTGGCTTAAAGGGTCTGTGCCAATGAATGATCCACGCCATTAGCATTTGGAGAAAAACACAGATTCTTCTACACCCACACCCACCTTCCTGGTTCTCTCGCGTTGAAGCATTATCAGTAATTTTCGCAAAATTCATCTGCTGAATGTTTTGACCTTTGTGTCATTCATATTAATTGTTTTTAAAAAGTCTTGACTAAAATGGAAAGTATTTTAGGGGCGGTGCCTGTGGCTCAATGGAGTAGGGCGCCAGCCCCATATGCCAGAAGTGGTAGGCTCAAACCCAGCCCCCACCAAAAACTACACACAAAAAAAGTATTTTAGTATACTTTTTACTCGGAATCAGAGAGCCATAAAGTCTCAGATTTGCTCAAACACAGAAGAATGTTTCAAAATAATAAAGAGCTATGTGAGAACTAAATCTTTTTTAATAATTAATCATTTCTGGAAATAAAGCTCAGATTCCAAAAATGGCACAGGAAACATCTACTATTGGACAGGGTCAGAGGTCTTTCAATCAGTAAGTAGACCCTAAGTCCTTAAATGGTAGATTGATTTTTTTTTTAAAAACATAACTTTGTGCTACTACAATATCCTCTTTAAAAGCTTGAGGGAATATAAGAAGTAGTTTCCTCTCACCAAAGGACTGGTGACTTATGACCGAAAGACCAGATAAAAAGTAAAAAGATTAATGTAATCAACTTTTAAAAAAAATCAATAAAAGACATTAGATCTCCTCTTACTGCTGACTGTGCAGAAGTTTCAGTTCAATCTTGAGTATTAAGGAAAAGAAACTTTAATGAGTTGCAAATTCTTAGTTAAGTTTTATCTCCCAGAGGAACTCTTACAAAAAGACTTTGTTTGTAAAATGGAAAGCATTAACAGTAAAAAAAATCAGCCAAGAGAGTAATCTTACAGTCTGACTGGACTGCACTTCCAAATATGTTTGTTGGGCGGATGCAAAACATGTATATACAAAGGTATAAACTAGGTGTGGGTTTTGCAATTTATGAAAAAGGAAGATCCAAGGAAAGTTACCTCTAGGGCAAATTTTGATGCATTGGTCCACCGTCCACTGTTCCTACGGAGTACCTTTATAAACTGAGATTTGTGGGAGGCAGCATATTATAGTGATCAAAAATATCAGCTCCAGAGCCAGATGGCTTGGTTTTGATTAGTGACTCTGCTCCTGTTTAGGACCTTAGGAAACTTGCTGTTTCCTCCTTTGAAAAATGAGGATAGTAATCGTACTGATCTCATAGGGTTGACAGGAGAATTTAATCATTTAATATATGTCAAGCATTTAGAATAGTGCCTGATGCATAGAAAGCGCTATAGAATTATTTGCTATTATTATTATTTTTAAACAGATTCTTACTTTGTCCCCTAAGAGTACGATGGCATCTTAGGTCACAGCAACCTCAAACTCCTGGGCTCAAGTGGTGCTCTTGCCTCAGCCTCCTGAGTAGCTGGGACAACAGGTGCCCACCACAACTCCCCGCTTTTTTTTAGAGATGGGGTCTCGCTCTTGCTCAGGCTGTTCTCCACAACACCCGGCTATTTTTTAGAGATGGGGTCTTATTCTTGTTCAGGCTACTCATGAACTTGTGAACTCAAGCAGTCCAACTGCCTCAGCCTCCCGGAGTACTGGGATTACAAGTGTGCCCAGCCCTATTTGCTATTATTATTTCAAGAACTATTGGCTTTGAGTAGGGCAAATTGTAGAGAAAAAATAAGAGACAAATGCGAATAATTCGATTAGACTTAGAAAAAAAAATCAAGAATGATTAGTTGTTAGAAAAATAACAGATACATTGCATGGGTCATTGGCACGCTTCCTGGGTGAAGGACACAAGCACAACTTGGATTTAACCTTACAAAAGCAAATGATATACCCGAATCAGACTATATTAATCTGAAATAAAAAGTTATAAAGTACAAAAAAGGGACAAATAGTTACATCGGCAAGGAGTGAAAGAACACTCCTCAAAGGAGAAACCTAGCTGAGGGACTTCACCCCCCCCCAAATCTAGAGTCCATGCAATTAGGTTATTCTTCAGCAAATCAGGCAGTAATCCTGACGGCTCTTAATATGCTGAAGAGTCTAAAGCTGTTGATAAACCCAAGAGAGAATCAGGCGTAGGATGCTACAGGGCTCATGTGATGGACACTTCCCAGCTTCCTACTGTGAGTCTGCTGGCTACACACACATCACTTGGTAATTCTCTGCATTATCAGCTTTGCAAGATAAAAATATTACATGGTGGTTTTTCTCATATCAGGATATCTTGGGTCACATAATATGTTAGTGGTCAAGTACAATATCAAAGTTCACAGCCCTTGTGGTTTTCTAGAGCTCCAAAGTTCTTTGGCCTTTCAGTTAATTTCCATGCAATCATCAGCGTTGACTTGAAAGTCACTCTCTGAACAAAGCCTTCCACAGTATCTGCATCCTCCTTGTCATATGTGTAAAGCGCTTTGGATGGCATCAAATGTTCTTGCCTCCTGGGGCTGGGTCTGCCTCCCCAGCCTCACTTCTACTACACGCTGCCTTCTGACCCTCTCTGATCAGGCGGTAGTACCTTCTTGTAATTGCCCAAATGTGTTAGTGTGTACTTGTATGAGTTATTCTCTCACCTTAGAATGCCTTTCTCTTTCTCTCTGGTTGCAAAACTCCCATTCCAATTCCAGCTTTATGTATTCCATGAAATGTTGTCTTCTCCTCCAGGGAGACCCCGTTTCTGGTTACTATTGTACCTGCAATACTTTCTTTTAACTATGCTAATTGCACTATAATTTATTTTCTGTTTTTATGTTAGCTTTTCCTACTAGACAGCAATTAACGGTGGCCACCTAATGTGTGTTTTATTCACCTTTGTTTCTCCAGCTGCTGTTATCATGCCTAGCACACGGAAAGTGCTCAATTAATGTTTGTTGAATTCAGTAATCAATGGACCGAATCATCTTCTTGCTCTATATTATTTTGTAGGTCACTGCATCTCTTATTTCTAAGCCAAACTGTATCCAGCTTTATTAAAGACACTTTTCATAAACAATCGTAGTATTTCTGGCAGGACACAGGCACACAATTGTGTATGTAACAACTCTTAAACCCCCTCCTTCAAAGAACTACAAAAACCAGAAAGACTCTCTGAAACCTAATGGAGTCTATGTTAGAAGTGAGGACTTGGCGCTTAGGAGTGAGGACTGACATTTCACATTTAGCATATTGTTGAACAAGTTTTTACAAACCAATCCTATCTTTCAGCAAATAAAATGAAAATGGAAGAATTTACCCAAAGGTCCACAATCTAGAACTAGAACCACTATCCTTTTGATGGACACCATTTCAGTGACATCTCTGGAAAGTCTGGATTGCCTGATTGATTGGTAACCAATTTTAGGGGGTCAGGTCTCCTGGATTTAAAGGAGTTAAGTCTGTAGTGACGATGGAGAGGGACAAGAAGACAGGAATGAATTTTAGTTTTTCCGCACCACAAGGTCTTTGTGCCCAGGTAGTTATGTGGGTCAAGGTCAGGGAATCCCTCCTCCTGGAAGCCAGAACTGTAAGGGAAAGGGGTTTCCCCATATTAATTCAGCTTTGGAGATATTCTCTTTTGACATAGAGTATTTCCCCCCAAAACAACAATGAAGCGTTTTTATGTAC